CCTGTCAGTGGTTCATTTAATAATAATCCAAACCAGCCTGAAGGAAACTTGTTCTTAAAGGAAGACAACCTTGAAAGTTCAGGTAAATATGGTAAAGATCAGGCAGAAGGTCAGCTGGAAAGAGAAACGCCCAAAACATCAGAGCGCCAAGAATATGAAAGACAGAGTAAGAATGTCTTTTTTCAATATTATCTAACCTTGTCTGACCTGTCACAACAAACACCTTTTAAAATCCAATTCTTTCACTTTTCTTAGTGGCTTCTGTTGTTACTTTATCAAGCACCTTACTCCAGCCCCAACTTTCCTAGCTTTTCTGAAACTTCAGCCAGGTTTCCTTGGTCTTATAGAAATTTTGTCTAGTCAAAATAATTTCACATGACTTCTAATTGCTATTTAGTAACTTATTACTACATCATGAATGCAACTTAATAACTAATACTTACAAACATAAGTTAATAATTTGTGATCGTGACAAAATAACTGGAAATGGAGAGTTTTTAACTAATGACAGCATATAAGAAACTTTTGATCATGACTTTACATCTTAGGATCGGCACATTTAACTTGCAATCCCAAGTTACAAAAGTCTTGATGACACAAGTGATGTATCCTATTTAAGCCACCTGAACGCTGGTTAAACCGGATTTTACTCGGGATAAACCCAGCATAGTTGTATGTGAAGACAAAAAAATAAAATAGCAAAACCACACACACGCAAAACATGCCTCCTTAAAATCACCATGAAAATATCTCATTTGCTTTTTTTTCCCCTTGAATGTAAAATTTTTATCTCTCTCTGTTACTGACCTCATATTTAGAGTCTGTCAAACCAAAGCTGTTCATTATAGTAAGAATTTGAGTTATGTTTGCATCACATACAAATTTCACATGATAATTATTAAGAAATCTTATGAAATAACTTCCTTGAGAGGATATTAGAACTTTCATCCACAGGAGGACTATAAAATGCATAATGCAAACAATTTTTGTTGCAAATGTCACCAACAGAAAGTAATTTTACTTTGTCAATCCCATTCACCTGTACAAGCTTTTTGCAACAATGCAAATTTTCCTGAGAATGAGACACAAGAGGACAATGCTGCGAACAACCAAGGACAACCAAGAGGTTGTGGGGATGGTGAGGAGGAAAAACCTCAGTTACGCAAACACCAACATCAGGCTGAAGAATGTTCAGCTGTGCAAGAGAGTGAAATTGATGGTGAGAAACAGCAAAGCACTCAAATCAAACCTCCAATCAAGAGGTTATGTAGTGAACAACAAGCCACCAATGAGAGGCCAAGAAAAACCTAATAGGTCACTCAGTGAGAGGGGTCACATACCGTCAAGACAAGATAGTAAATATTCAACCCTCTGTGTGCTTCTTCATTGTACCTCTTGAAAGCAGCTATGATCTGTATGCAAAAACTTCACTGAGATACCAATAGTTTTCACATTCAATGATGGTTCTTAATGTTGCTAATTCCTGTGGCCTTTTTTCTCCAACCACATAATCTGCCAATTCACATGATCCAACCTCACTACTGGTGCATAAAAAGGAGAAGAGCCTTTGATGCTTAATAAAATAAATCAAGTTCAGACTCACAAGTACTCATTCCGTAAAAATATGTAATCAACAAAGGCTCAGGTTTGAAGTATGTAGTTAAAACAATATTGTATGACATTGCAGAACAAGATCCCCAGGTGGATAATTACACCAATGAAAATGCTGCACAAAATCCCACATCACAGGCCAGGATTCGCACATTAGCAACCCAAAATTCTCATCATGATCAATTCTCTGACCCTGATTGTTTGCGCGACAATAAAGGTAGAAAATTGTTAATACTTTGATAATTTATTTTTTTTTTACCAACATATAGAAGTAGCATTTGTGTAGGTGGCCCTTATCCAGTCCAGGGAGGAAAATGTTGTTCAGGTTCAAAATGACACAGATGATCACATGGCTAAAATATTGAAACTCAATAGTTTAATATTTCTGCTGTCTTTTTACCACGTTATAACGACAAATTTAAAAATACTGATTCTCTAAAGTACCATGACCACAATCAGCTTTGGAAAATGGGAATTTGACAAATGGTCTGAAAAAGTATATTTTCCATCCAGAGGTAATTTAGTGATATATTCTTTTTTGTTTTGGATTTGAGACTTAGTCCGGTGATCTTAGCACCTTCGACCAAAGACTAAACCTTCCAAAAATAATAATGATGTAATGAAAAACCCAATCTTTGTTCTTATTTTTGAGTGTTTTACATTCTTTTTGCTTGTAATATAGATACTCCTTTTTCCAAGACGGTTACGGATCCCACCCCCGCTGAGCACAAGCCAACTCTTCGAGAGAGACACAGCAATTCCCAGCATGGGATGGATAGAATTGCAACAATGCAAACTGATGAGGTCTCCACAGAGAAGGAACATGTCTATGCAGGTAATTTACGCGCAGTCCACTTTGTAGTCATTCTTTAGAAAGTTCCCACTAAGAGTCATGCATAACATGGCAAACCCAAATAATGCTGCATAGGAGACTATCAGAAACGGATAAAGACACACATGTGGTTATTGGCGTCTGAAAAGCCTGTAACCACATTATGCTATTGGGTAAGAAGGTAAGTTAAAGAGAAGTTTCTCAGAAACATTTGGAGCAGTCTCCCAAGAAGGACCAATAAAGTTTTTTTAAATTGATTTTCACAAAAAACACACAAATTTTGATTAAATGCTTCCCTCCATTTACACTTAGCATACATGGTTGCATAAATACCACATTCCAATGAAACAAAATTTTGAGTTGACACTGGACATTGCTCATGTGGTGCTAAAGCCATGAAAACAGTCAAAGCCTAATATTGGCTGATTAATCTTTTTCTGTGACTATATGACTATTTTCTGTGACTATATATCAACAAATGGCATCCATTGCTTCAAGTCTTTATAATTTCTCTCAGTAAAAAAAAAATTCCAGCCTCCAGTCAAGAAATGTTTTAATTAAAGCTTAAATTAATACTCTTTGATTCAATATCACATTTTAGAAAAGATTTGAAGTTGGCACCAACATACCCACTCAAATATCCCTGTAACATGTTTAAACAGTAACTACATGTCCTTTCGGGGTACCTTTATTTTGTTTTGTTATGTTTTTCCCGTTCTTTTCTTAAAGTTTGCTTTTTGTTGAATTTAAGGTATGAATACTTTTAATTTTTCTAATTGTCATTTTCAGGTTCATATGTAGAAAAATTAATCCTCAGAAAGGAACTCATCATGGATCTGCTCTCCCTCTATTTGGATAGATCAATCTATCCAAAGTTCAGAAGTGCTCCATCATTGGCAAAACGTTGGGAACATCTTGCAGACTACTGCAAAGTAGATGCTAAAATAAAAAAAGCAGTGTGGGATCTCTGCTCATCTGAGCCCAAGTGAAGCTATGTTTAAATACTTGTGCCAATCTGAGGAGTCAATTAACGTTGGAAACCTGAAAAAGAACCTCTTGGAAATTTCAAGGAAAGATGTTCATGATGAGCTGGCAAACAATCAAAATTTGCTTGGTACAAACATAGCTTCTTGCACACTTAACACACAATGACCGCGCACTGTACTCTTTGTGTTGCTTATTTTGCATGAAAGCAAGACTGTAGTAACAGAAGCTGTTGCATCTATTTCTTTTCCTCTGTTTGATGCTAAAATAGGAAATCTTTGTAATGATTTTCATAATTGTTTTCCAGATGATGACAATATGAATGACCTTTGTGATAATCATCCAGAAACATTGCTGAACATTTGTTTACACCTTGACGACAATCGCTCTGTCAGGTATTGGTATCACTTAGGACTCAAGATAGGTATCAGTGGTGAGATACTACGGAGCTTTAAAGGTCCCTCTGAATTTAGCCCAAGCAGTGCAATCTTAGAAAAGATTGCAACACTGAAGCCAAAGCTTCCATTAATGAAGGTGCAAACGGTTTTGCAAGAGGTGGAAAAGTGGGTGCCAGGCATATCCAATGTGCTGAGTGATTTAGGTAATTTAAGAATGGAATTTAAACATAGTTCTCATTTAATAATATAGTAGATATTTTACCTACAGGGGAGTGTCAACATTTGATAAGACAACTAATTCATATAATTCCTGCTTCTATTTTGAATTTTTTTGGTTAATGGGTAAATAAAACTTGCCTTAGGTTCTCTTTGAAACATTACGAATCTCTCCTTTGCTAACAATACAAGAGAGAAAAATTGAGAACACAAACAGTTGTAGCAGATAGACATCCTGTAGTGCTCACAATTCAAATTAAAAAATCAAGTTGATTGCATGGGGTTTAAAAAGCAGAGCAGATGGTACATCCTGAAAATAAGCCATGGTTCATAGAAAGACTTTATCTTGGTACACATGAACACATTCTGAACAAGTGAAGGACTCTATCTACATGTAGCTTTTTAACCAGCATGATTGTTTGTCACATTATAAGATGGTTCTTAGTTCCTCAGACTAGTACAGTATTTTGTATGCGAGCTACAAATAAGAGAAATAATCATGATCATGAATAGTTATATGAAAATCAATCCTGTGAACTGTGGATTAGGAAATTAAATATGAAAGTGATCTTGGCAGTAATGAACACTACTACGAGCAATATTGAAAATAAGGCCTGAATTTTTTCAGGCCTTATTTAGTTAGTAAGTGCCATAATGATTCGATTTAGCCCTTGGGGTGCTTATTTACTTTTGGTACCTCAAAGAGGGAAGGTGCCTATTCAAAACAGGTTGCTTATTGGGGACAGGGCGCTTATTGACGAAATCAAGACAGCACAATCTGAAGCAAAGCTTTGATGTTTATTTGACTGAGGATCAAAAAGACTGGAAAATGGACTTGTTGTCCCTGGATCCTTTTCTGCTAGGATGACTATAGCCAAGCTATTGTCCAAAATTTTAAGACAGGATCTTTCATTTGAAGGACCTTTGCACTCATGCAGACATCATAGTTTGTTGTGAAGCTTTAAACGAGCAATAAAAGGAAGATGGACCATGGTTGATCTAATTTCTGTACATGTACTCTAACAATGCTTTTCCTAAAACAGATTGAGGGCGTTTATTGGAATAGGAGCATTTATTGGAAAAGGGGATCATTAGAATAAGGGGGGCCTATTAAAAAATGCAAATTTGAGGGCGGTGCTTATTGGACAGAGGACACTAAATCGAATCCTTACAGTGCCCAAGCAGGAAAAAAATAAATTTCCTTTAAGAGTATTCTTGTAGATCCATGTGCTTCATTTACAATAAATAATTTAAATTGATCTTTGCTTCAGCTGTAGATTCAAGTAGTACAATTCAGACCTTGCTGGATGAGTTTGAAGCTGTTGAGAAACTAACAGCTCTCTTAGATCTTGAAGAAAGAGCCTGGATGCACTTTGGTTCTAAGCTGGGAATGAAAAGTCTAGAATTAAAGAGTCTAAGGCAAGAAAGTCCACCAAGCCCTACAAAATTACTGATGAAACACATTGTTGCTAAGAAACCAGACCTCACCATGAGTTTTTTCCTGAGAGCCCTGAAAAGCATTGAACGCTTTGATGTCATAAATGAGCTTGAAAAATTCTTTGTTGGTAAGAATATAGTTAACTTAAGGATTAACCATAACTCAAGCTTAAAATGACAATTTACATTAAAATTTTGGTGGATTAGGCAAAATCCCAACTGGGCCTTAACAATTAGGGCATGCAATTAACCGTCCCTAAATAACACTTGATCAATATACAACAAGATTCAAATCTGCTTAGATGAAAGTTTTCAAATGGGCATTTAATTATTCATTATATAGCTTTAACTCTAAGCCATGTATGACAAAGTCATGATTATGTTTTACGACAAAAACTCTTGTCAAGTCTTTTGCATTGACATCAAAATAAAGAGTGAGGTCACTCTGACAGACTCAGCTCAGCAGTGGTGGTTATTGTCAAATATTGTTTTCAAAAAAACTTAGTTACATTTAGAGGCAGCTGAAATGTCAAGAATATAGGAAGAATTCACCATAAAACTGATCTTTTATTAAATCTTACATTTTTTTTCATATTTCAGCCAAAGATATAGCTGACATATTAAAGGGTGAAGAAGACTTCACACAATAAGATAACATCACTCTCCTTTATCTGCTTTAATTAAAATCAAGACAGAAAGGTAATTTGACTTCAATTGTCTATGGTAGTTGACAAATTGACTGATTGAAAGTCAAATTGTGTGTTAACATACCAGAAGGCAGGGGGCATGCGCAAATGGGAAAATGACAACATGAACAAATCAACTCAGCAGAAGTTGAAATGTGCATCAATGTACTGGAAGCCAAAGGGCATGAGCAACTGAACCTTCCTTGTTCTTAAAACGTAAAACAGCTGGAAGTCAATTTGCAGAGGAAGATAATACAGATAAACCTTCATCCAATCTTGACTCGATTTGACTTGACTCATCTTTAGTTAAGTCCATCCATAGCAAGTTGCAGTATATTTTATAAGTGCCTTGCATATAGACTCTCAGTATGACTGGTTGACTATAAAGAAGTCAAATCATCTGATTTGAGTTGAATCAAGTAGATTTGACAACATTTGACTCCATAGCAGGTTGCCGAATCTACAAT